AACCAAAAGACAACCTACTGAATAGGAGAACATATTCACCAATGATACATCTGATACGGGGTTAATATCCAAAATTTATAAAGAACTAATACAACTCAACACCAAACAAACAAACAAAAAACCCCAATAATCCAATTAAAAAGCGGGCAAAGGACCTGATTAGACACTTCTCCAAAGAGGACACATAGACGGCTCATACAAATATGAAAAGATGCTTAAAGTCACTAATCATCAGAGAAATGCACATTAAAGCTACATGAGATATCACCTCACACCTGTCAGAAAGATGCTTAAAGTCACTAATCATCAGAGAAATGCACATTAAAGCTACATGAGATAATCATCTCACACCTCACAGACCATCGATAAATCAACAAACGAGTGTTGGTGAGCATGTGAGGAAGAGGGTACCCTCATGCACTGTTGGTGGGGTGCAGGTTGGTACAGCCACTGTGACGAACAATGTGGATGGTCTTAGAAAATTAAAGATAGAACTACCTTAAAATAAAATTTTAAATTAATTTTTTTAAAGGAGTACATGCATTCTGTGAACCTGCACAGAATCCTTCTCTTTTTACTGTGGTAACAGAAACCACCGTCTACTTCTCTTAAGAGACTGACATGTGTGACGTGAAAGAAACTGGGAGTTACATGGTCTGGCCTCCCCAGCCACAAGGGTAGCAGCGGGACTAGGCTGTCCAACAAGATTAGACCGCACTCCTGGACTGAACGGTTGATCTGCAAGGGGCCTGTGGTTCAAGCAGGGCCAATCAGAGTCTTTTCTGAAAGTTTGGCCCGTGCTCCTATAATCAAAAGCTGTGAGGAGGACAGTGGCTTTCCACGGATGGAGCCTGCCTGCTAAGGGAATCAAAGGAGCAGGAATGTCAGCGAGAAGTGCAAGAGAAAGTCTTGATAAAATCATTCACTCTACATTGACTTCCCAGTCTCATGAGTCAGGAGACTCCAGCCGCCCCCTCCCCGCACCCCACCCCCGGAAAGTATTTTTAAAATTCATTAACAGGATTTTATAATTATCCCCAAGTGTGGAAACAAATCTGACACCTTGTGCTGCCATCATTACAAGGAAGCGTGCATCCCAACCCACAATCAGTGGCACAAAAAAACACCATATTTTTCCCCGGGATGAAACAGACCAAAAAAATTACTGCGTTTAGTTCTAGTATCCAAAATCAATAAAACTCTAAGGCTTTTCTCTAAGTTGCTGACTCCCTAACAAAAACAACCTTATCCCCCTGACTTTTACAAGCTGCTATGAGACTACTTCTGTGGGTATGAGAGACAAGTGAGAGGCCTGCTTTTCAACAATGAACAGCTTAATTAAAAACCAAGTATCCTTTGTGTTCTTGGGAGGTTTGTTCCCTTTAAGTACTTGTTGCATTTTTTATTTGGTGAGCCGGGTCTTTTCAAGCTTGGATTCTCTTGGAAATCTTTTCGTCAAGTGATATTTTCTCTTTTCTAAATGCTTTTATATCTGAAACTTTAACACAATAAATTTTAATTTTTCTAATCTAACTTCATTGTTCAAGCACACAGGTGTCTTTCTCAACCCTAATTCTGTCATTTTCCCCCACTTTACTGGTTTACAATTTGATATACTTACTTGTCCCTAATGTCTTTATGCAAGTTAAGAATTTTTAAATGAAATGTTGAAAGTCATCTAAACTCATATTCTTCTTGGTGTGAGTTAGAATATGTATGAAACCTTCATTAAATTTATATTCCTATGACAAATATACGATATCAACTGTACTCCTAGTTAATACCAACTACATTCTTAGTTTGTGGCCATTTATTAAACATTTTACCTATAGTTCTTCAGTTAGCCATATATCCACTTAGCCATATCATTTAGTCTACAATTCTCTATGTTATCCATAGGAACATCATGAGAAGCTCTATCAAATATCCTCCTAACATTAAAGATGCCTTCTCTTCATGAATACATGCCCGTTATCCCTGGTTACCATTCTTTTGAACTCAAATCTCAAGCACTGAATCTGTGAGGGTGCTTTTAATGTATGTAAAAAGAGGGGCCTAAGCAATCTTTGAAAACAAAGCACACAGAAAGAGTTAACTCACTACTCTGAAACCATACCAATTTGGGCACTAGCCTGTGTCATAAGTTGCATTTAATGCAGCTTCCTGCCCTCAGCCCCACATTCCAGTCACACCCCTATCTCTGTAGTTCTTCCGACGCCCCATTCTCCCTCCCACGTCAAGTCTTCACCACCCCTCTCCCTCTTCCAGAAATGCTTTCCCAGCCTCTTCCCTAGGTTTTATACAGAGTTCGGACGCCTCTCCAGACTAGGTCAGATCCACGTAAAGCTCAGATTTATCTGCGAGAGTACTAATCACAGTTGGAAATAATAATTCTTTTTTTTATTGACTCTCTTTCCCTGTAAAGTCTAAACCAATGGTACTCAAATTGTTGAGCCGCTAGACCAGCAGAGTCAGAATCACTTTGAAACTTCTTAGAAATGTAAATTCCCAGACCTAGCCCTAGATCTCCTGCAACAGGTAATCTGGGACAGAAACCTCCGAGCAAGTCTGATGCACAGTGCAGGTTGACAACCACTGCTGTACAATCCATGCAGACATTTACATTCTACTGGCTATCGTAAACTCTGCCCTCATCACCCAGGACTTTGTATATAACCAGTGCTCAGTAAAATTCACTGGATAAACGAATGAATGAGTAGGCATTGCACATTTTTCATGATGTTAATGAGAGTCTCTTAATCAGGATTAGAATGGTTCCGATTACCAATTAAAATTTTCCTGATAAACGTCCCCTGTAGGCAGGAAGCAATCAAGTAACTAAGCTTCAAAATGAACACAGAAACTTGTAACATTTCTGTCATATAAAGTGTAATGTTCAAAGTCTGTATATCACAATAGCCACTTCCCTAATGATCCTCTCTGAGCAAGAGGAGAATAAGATCGAAGACAGACAGTCATTGAACAACCTGGGAAACACACTAAGCCATCAGCAAATCACCACGGCACTCCAAACAAGAATAAAATACTTTTTAAAAAGGAGAAACCAGAACAAATTAAAATGTTGGAACCAACAAAAACAGAAAACATTCAGATTCACATGTCTAATGCATACTTTCATTCACTGTATGTTATTTAATTGAATTTCCATTGTTTTTGTTTACTACTGAAGCTAGGAACCTTCATCTTGAAGTAAGTTTTAAATTGTTTTTTAAAGAATCACTGAGTTAATTGAGTGCTAGTCCATTGTTTTGCTCTATAACAAAAATATGTTCAGAGTTCACCTGGATCAACAGAAAAACATAGCTTGTGTGTATGTGTGCACAACATGCCTGTGATGCATGCATGTGCACATGTGTGTGTGTGTGTGTGTGCGCGTACTCCACACATTCTACATTTATTATACAGGCTTATTTCCTGTAGGCCCAAGTCAACTAGATTTTGTCACACCATTCACTGATGGGATAAAAATATGACTCAAATATTTTTATTATAGCAAAAACAAGATTAATTTGTATATTAGATTTCATTCATTTAAGCTTCAGTAATGTTGAATTAATAATTATTACACAGAATTTAATTGGCTTTACTAATCAATAAGGCAGGTTTAGCTAAGAAAAGCTTAACTAAAGAAACATTATTCAAAACTACTTCAACCCACCTTTGTGGCTCTCTACATATATTTTCTAAATAAAAATAGCTCTTACTTGGCCATTATGGTAGCACCATCAAGATCTTACTTATTAACTCCTTGTCATTTAAGAGATGTTAGTTTGAATTACTGTTCTTATTAAAAGTAATAGTACTTCTGATTACTGAAGTTTTCCACCAATTTAAACTGGCCTTCTTTCAAATTATTCTGCATTAGTAAGTATTTGCTCTACTGTAAATAGTAGAATGGACTTGGTCTTAAGCATTCAAAATTAAATTCCTTAAAAAAAAATGTAACGACTATAAGGATAAGAAAAATAATCATATAAAAACTATAGATCAGGACCTCAGGATAAAAACTTAAAAAACTAAAGAAACACTGACAACTATGTACATTTTCCAAACTAGGTCAAGAAATTAAATGTCATGATTTCAAAGATGCAAACATACAGAAGGAATGCTCCACCGTAGCTTCTTTAATCTCAGCTTCTCCTACTGAATAGGCTGGTACAGGCTGACACTTTTTAATTAAGAGAATGGCAGGTCAACTGCAGAGCTTAAGTGTCCATTTTTCCTCTGGCTCAATGTCGTTTATATGGTAATTACTTTGCATCTTCTAAAGGCAATTACACAGTAATCTGCCATAACTAAATCAGCCAATGGCTGCATGGCTTTTTAATTGACAAAACCTACTGAATAATCAAATAATTAAAGAGAAGTTACAGGATATAACAGGTCCCCAAATAAAGTCATTACGTTTGGCATCCTTTATTGTTTCATTATAACACTGATGACGTGCTACGGGTGCTTAACCTTTGGTAAAATTGATTTTGTTATACACCCGTTCATGTGAAGTCTCAAAACCTATCAACAATGTGAAGACTTACTGTATGGTCACAGGACGCATTTTAAGGCTGTGCTTCTCCTGATATTATTATTATTTTTAAAAACATATAACTGTTAAAAATGGCAGTAATTTACTGAGCACAAAATATGTACCAGGCACTGAATAGGAACCTTACATTGAATATCTGGCAGTCTCATAGCAGCCTCATGAAATAAGTATAGATATTATCCCTATTTTAAAAGTGGAAAAAACTGAGACTTAGAGACAGCAAATAACTTGCCCATAGCACTAATCAGTAGATTGGAGAATCAAAGCCAGGAAGGCAGGCTTCAGAATATAAATTATTAAGTTTCCTCTGCACTACTTTACATACATGTGTTACAAATCAGCTTATTTCACTCTCTCATCAGCAAATTAGAGTCTACTCAAAGTGGGAAGAGGGCTGAATAAATATGAAATGGAATCCACTGAACACTGCCAGTACCTTTCCATCTTCATCACATGGAGTGTGAATCTGAAAATAGTCTTTTGTGGTACAGGGAGGGCGCTCTGTACACTCACTGGATCCTTCCTCTGCAACAGAAAAATGCATTTCGGAAAGGAGTCAATTTCTTTGTGACTCTAAGAAAGGGCAAAAACCAAACAAACAAACAAAAAAGACAAAAAGTAAAAATAACTTTACCAGAGGAATTTAGGTAGAACTAGCACGGCCTAAAGAAAGTAAAGGCTTACATTCCTATTTTCACTAGATCAGTAAGTGTCTCCATGAGACGCATGGGGCAGATCACAGTTTTCCCAAGAAGACATGAGATTTATTCTATTATCATTAAAATTGTAAACTTGGAATAAATTAAAAGTTTCTAAATATATCTCTCTGCCCACAAATCATCTAAAAGTACAACATGAATTCAGATTAGTGTAAACACATCCAAAACAGTCACTTGTGGGGTATGGAATAGAAAAAACTACAGACAAAAGGAAAAGTCATGCAGAAAAGGATAAAAGAAGTCATTTATATCCATCTGATACTGACTCATTTCAGCGCTTTCGTGTCTGGCTCATTGTTCCTGTCCCACTTATGTGTGACTTCCAGCTTATGGCTATACATTGACAAATGTAATTTTAAAAAGAAAAGAACAAGGGGTATAAACTGGCAAAGACTAGGCCTACCTGAAAATTGGGAGTCCTCTGCACACTTTATGCACTCTTTGGCTCCTTTCTCAGAGTAGGTGTTCCTGGGACACACTTGGCAGTTGAACGACCCTGGTTTGTTGCTGAAGGTGCCTGGCTTGCATGGAAAGCACTCGGATGTGTACGCCACTCCTGCGGGGTAATGACAAACACGCAATGGGAACAGGGACTCAACAAACAAGCTTCTTCCAGAAGTGAGAGAGAGTTACTGAGAGTAAGCTCTATCCAAAGCCTTTATCTCATTACACCAAGAAAGTGTTTGCTGCCATCAAGGAACTGGGGTAGATACTAAATAAAACACACAGGGGAAAGCAAACACTTAAACAAGAGATTGACATTTATTAGAGGTAAACGCATAAACTCAGTTGTCAAAAGACAACTCCATGAAGTTACAAGTAGAATCAAGGTCCCCTCCATTTCTATAAGCTACCATTTTCTCTGATCTCTGTGGTTACCTGTTTACCTTCTGCCCATTAAGCCACAGGAAAGACTTAAAAGACCCTTAGAAGGGCATGACTTTTCTTCTGGTTTGTAATTCCAGACTTTGCCAGCAGATGTCGCTATACCTAATTATCAATAGCATCACAGGAGCAAGTACACTTTTAAAATATTAAAACACAAGTCAAAATTTAATAAAGGAGAATCACTACTTTAATTAGAAGTAGTCCTGAGAATGAACCATTCCAGGGTTTACTAGCTACCCTCCTGGGCCACGAAGGTCTAGCTGGTTCAAAAGAAGCACAAGAGATTTAGGACAGGCCACAATGTTTATTTTACTGTTATTTTTATGGGTACAGCAGTGACCTGAGTAAGCTCAGTGACTAGCACAAATGAATAATAGGCTCCTATTAACAAAGATGTTTTTATTTTATTTAAAGACACCTAAAATTGTCATAGTGTTTACTTTTTCACCAATATTAAATAATTCAGTTTAAGGGTACAAAACAAAAACCAGTCAACTTGCCAGGAATAAAACCAGGACCTCTAAACCTACATGATACCTAACATATTAATTCCTGTCCCATAAACCCTTGAGCCAGCCAAACCAAAAATTCAGTCAATATTTTAACTACATATAAGATGTAATAGCTGTCTACTGAAACAGATTGCTGTGAAATACCTTCAATTGTGATATTTTTTACCAAAACTGGCTTGACTGCCTTAGAACCCATAAGGATGCCTGTAGTTCTCCAGTATAGAATGTTTGTACCAGATTTTAGCATTACCTGTAAAGAAAAACACAAGACACTCAGATCAGATAAGCCATGCTATATCCAACCATAGCTGAAAGCTAATCTCTTACACATTTTTTTGCATTATAATAAAAGACCATTAATTTGGAACCCATAAATATAAGTCTCGTTAATTAAATATAAATATTGTTAATTCATCTCTAAGCTCTGCTGAAGTTCAAATTATCTTTTAAAAAAAAGAACTTTTACCAATCCAAGAAATATAGTAATAAAGAAGGAAAAGAATTTCTGAAGTCTAACGAAAAAGATAAAATGATTTTCAAAACATCTGCAGGAAGCCTTGGCTTATATTTAAAAGGGACTCATTTTAGTAAGTGAAAAGCACTCAGCCCAATTATATATTTATTGGATGCCACTATTCATAAGTAAATTTCAGCTCTGAGAACAAAAAGATGACAGAATGTGCTTGCTTCTTTCTGAATTTATTTAATAAACAATACTGCAACAGCAACAAGAGAAAATAGAATTATTTTTATAGAATAAGCTGATTTAACTCTATGACTTTAGAACTTAAATGATACTATGTCTTATATCTGCTTTCTTTGCCAGCAGAACATTTTTCTACTTATAAATCAAACTACTTTTCTGAGAAATTCCATGCTGATTTAGGCAAGCAAACTAATATTAAGGATCCCTTGCTTTCCCATTTGCTACTCTTATTCTTCTGTATAAGCTCTGGCTGGACATATTCAAGCTATATAAACCTAAAACATATCCAACCATTTCACCTTGCCAAAGATTCAGAGAAGTAGTGCATTAAGTACTTCCATCTTGTATGAAGTCTTTATTAAGTGAAGAAAGCATATTTGTTGCCAAGGGCGATTTGTACCTTCAAAGCCCAAGTGACTGAATGCTTAGGCAAATAAATCTAAAGTGCTCCTAATGTCATTTCCAGGCATAAAGATCAAAAATACTCGGAAAGGTACACTTGTGTCAATCACTCCAAGATGGGGCACCTGCTACAACACAAAGTCAAGGGTGGATGTTCACTTATTGGCACAGAGCTCAGTATATATTGCGGGGCCCCACACAGGCCCTTCCCATACATCATATCATTTAACCCTGCAAGAGTGGTCCTATTTCTTACATGGGGCGGGGGGCGGAAAACAGATTCAAAGAGATTAACCAATTGCCTAAAGAAACACAGCTACTATGAGGCAGAGTTTGATTTTAAATGCATGTCTCACTCCAAAGGGATTGCCTCAAATTATAACAGACAAATGTCTTACCTGATATTTGGCTTCAAGTATTTACAGTTACTGTGTGGAAAATCAGGCAGTTACTTTATTCAATATGAAGGCATTTTTCAAAGGGCATAAAACTGACCAATCAGTGGTAAATAGACAGGAAGAGGTTTAGATTCCAAACATGGATCAATTTTGTGATAATCAGAGCTACCGAACAACAGAGTCAGCACAGTCCCCAACAAGATAAACTTGAAAAATCACTTATTGTGAAGACTGCAGAGAAAGCTAAATGAAAGGAACTCAAGGATCCTTCCAATGCAAAGAGCCATTGATTTTCTCTCATGTGACAGGTATATCTGTAAACTTACATACTTGGAGGTTTTGTATATCCGTTTGATTATCCTTATTTCTTGTTAATGCCCCCTTTGAAAAGGAGGAAAGTTGGAGTATGATGGGACAGAGAAAGGACATAGAGAAAGGTAAGAAAAATTACCTGCAGACTGAGTCCATAAAACTCCTGCTCTAACTGGAAACTGTCGAAGTTAATAAACAGTTGTGAAGCCTTTTTTTCCTTAAAGTAAACTTTTTTAAAAGGTTGGAAAAAGGAAGGAAAAAATGGGGTTGGTGACAGAGAGCACAAAGAGAGACTTACAGAATGAGAGCCCCACTCGCCACTGTCTGTGAGCTTGACCCACTTGTCTGCAGTGGTGTCCATCTCCTGGCACTGATCGTTCTGAATCTGCGGGATAAACACAATGGCTCTTGAATAATGGCTTTAATTCAGTGTGTCACTCAGCACAGGGCACGCTGCAAGAACTTCTTTCAATATATACATTAAACAATATCCATGAGTACTTCTCAACCAGTAAACACATCAAGGCTTCTGAAGCCTAAGTGACAACTGCATATGAGTGGGAGGTTCTAGGTAAATCATTGTCATTATTTTTATAAAAATCCTAGCTCACAGAGAAGTAAGGAGAGGAGTGGAGAAGGGAAAGAAGGAGCAAGCAGCTAATACTGAAAATTCACTTAAAGAGAAAAGGTCATTACAAAAATCTTACCAAATTGTTTTAAAAGCTGGCATTCACCATGCAGGCTGAGTAGTATAAAAATAAAGTTTATTTTTTACAACATTTGGGGCAGTAAAATCTTAAGTGAATAAATAAAGTCTCTTTTGTTTTCAGTTCCCCAGGACTTACTCCAAATGTATAGGTAAATGACTAAAGTCAAAGTCCCAAATTTTTATTTGAGGGTAAATATTAACCATTTGCCATACCAATTCAAATGACTGCAGCTAATACCTTTAGCACCAAACACTCTGTGCTTTCCAGAAAATTCTTCCAAAATGCCTAGGATTTGAGACATTACTTTTCTAGGTCTACAAAGAAGACGGGAACATCAAAAGTTGGGCCATCTTTAGAACACTACACAATAGTCAGGAACAGAATAGGGTTAGAACAGGTTCTCTTCACCTATGCTACTTCCACTCAAATGGCTAACCCTTCTTTTCTAAATCATTTTGCTATTTCATTCATCCTCTTGACCACTTTCCAAACAACATGATTATGGTCTCCATCAGAGAAATTTCCTAAAGACCTACTAACTAGAATGTAGATCCTTTACCATCCAAATATGAAAGAATTTCCACTACGGAAGATATTGGTTTTAATTGAATTTAAATATTTTATTTATATTATAAACTTAATAGCCATTTTAATGTAATGTAAGCGTTAAACCATTTTAAAACAAATACAGACCCAGCACACAATTTTGGTTGTCAGTGTTTGGATAAGATGACAGCATTTTTTCAGCCAAAATCAGACATCATGTGTCATCACGACCTTCTTTCCACAGGCATTCTAGAGACCTGAGTTCTGTTATTCGTTCGAAAGTAATTAGCAATGGAATAACCTTAATCCATTCACTTAGCTTTCTAGGTTTCAGTTTCATCATTTAATAAGGGGAGCAGGGCTGAATGAAAGTCCCACACCATCCTAAAATTAAATACTTTATTGTTTTAAATTATGTAATGTCCAGAAGTACAACCACATCTTTCCATCCTCAGAAATTTCCTTTCCATTAACCCTTAGCAGGATGATCATGAACTCCTGACTCTCTGACTCAGTAAATCACAACCTATGAAGGTGAAATATCAAAAAGAAGGAATAAGAACGTGCTGTGCCTTTTCAGTCTATAACCAGAAGAACAGAGGCATTGTTGAAAGGAAGTAATTGAAACTTCATGCCTCTGGAGTGCCTTCATTGACAACTCTCAAAGCACTTAGCAGATTATGTAAAACGAAGTGTTTATTCAAATAATTATATAGTTACCTTGCTTCTTAACTTTATTTTAGATTCAGTAATATTGCAAAACTGTCCCATAAAATAGGTAATAACTCACTTTGAGAAGTGTTTTGCAAACAAAATGCAGCTTAAGAAGCAAATCTGTTGTAATGTTGCTTAACATCTTAAACTCATCAAAGAATATTAGAGCCAGGAGGGCTCCTTTAAAGGTCTTGTCACACAATCCACTTTACAAAAGTAAATGCTGAGGGCTGAAAAGTTAGCTTAATTGCCCAACAACACACAGCTAGCACTTGCAAAGATGGGACTAGAGCCAGAATCTCCTGACTTCAAATCTAAGGTTCACACTTCCATCAAAAATTTCTCTTCCTCCCAAACTTTTGATTTAGAAATTTCCATTATCAAGAGCAATATGTATTTGATTTAGAATTGCTAGTACACTTCCTCCTGAAATCTGTACTACAGAAACATTTTACAAGACATTTTGCTAGCTATTTGCGCAACACACACTTTTTTTTTAATATGCGAGGTCTATCTGAAAACATTTTCTCAAACATTTGCATCACTGCCACGACAAGTATTTGCTACATTAGTTATAGTTTATATAAAACAGTTAAATAATTTTAAAGATAACAGTCTATTCTGTTAGACTACTATTTTATCCTGTGTTCTGTAATGCTATTTAATCTTTTGCCAGAGACATCAATGGTCCCATCCGTTATTCCTTCCTATTGTACAAAACTGACAGAATCAGAAACATACATCCACTTCTACTTCTGAAATACTACCCATGAGTACACTTAAATAAGTCAAATGTTTGAAACTGCAGAGGGAAAAACAAACCTTTTAAAACAAAACTGAAATCGGTAAAGACATTTTTAACAATTTTTTGTAGCTACAGATTCTACAAAAAATCACAAGAGAACAAAAAATCATAAGAGAACCTTAGAGAAAACATTTGTCACACAAAAAGTCTACACCAAATAGTTATCTAATGATCATAACCAAAAGTTAAACAACTGTTACTCTACAAGGCAAAAGCTCAGAAGTAAAGAAACATTATTTACTAGAAAATAAAATACTATAGAAAAAAGCAAAGTTTTCTTTCAGTTTCAAAAGGTTCAGTTAACACACACACACACACAAACTGAGGAGGCATAAAGTGTCATGGAAACAATGGATTAAGGTAAATTTTACATGAATGTCCCTTAAAAAGTAAATTTCAGAATATAAAAGGCCTTACAAAGAACTCAAAGAAGATGTTGTTGTCGACATACTGGTACTCAAAGAAGACATAACCTGACTTCTTAAGGTGCACAGCATAGATCAGAGATACAGTGCAGTCATCACGATTTGACTCTATGTAATTTCCGCGGGGGACCCAAGAAGAGCTGCAGAAACAAAACCAACAGACATTTTACGTCAGCATTCAAAAACCTCTTCTGTTTACAAGTTATGCAACTCAGATTCAAAAGTTAGTTCCATCCGCAAGGCACAGCAGGGAAGGCCAGAAGCTTTTCTGGAACTCCAAGGCCGACACCAATATGGGAAAAAGATTCATTTCTTTACGGCACATGACTTCCTAAATCTTGGTAAGATCGATTTGCTATGAAACTGCTATTTTTCACCAAAAATTTGATCACTAAAGAGATAATCACTAATTCCACTAGCCTTGGGTAGAATTATTTCTCTCAAAAAGCATCGGAAATTTAATGTATTACCACATACACAGGGTAGTGGGGGGAAAGAGTATCCTTGATAAGAGAGAAGACATAGTTCTAGAAAAAGCCCATTTAAAATGAACCTAAACAGAGAGAGAACAGGATGACAGCTAAGGGGAAGGGGAAGGTAGGTGGCGAAGGGATTGAACAAAAAGAAAAAGGACTCATGGACATGGACAACAGCGTGGTGACTGGGACAGGGGAGAATAAGGGGACTAAATGGTCATGGAAAATTTTAAAAAAGTAATAAACCTAAATAAACTATAGATCACAGTTTCATAGCATATAATGAGGTAAGGTCTGGAATTTTTATCTATAAAACAAGATGAAAAATTAAGAAAATACACTGGTGAACAAAATTTGGGTTGTAAATCTAACCATAAGGTTAGATTACATTAGAATTAACCTAATGAGTTATATGTCAAATATGGGGGGGGCGGGAATTCCAACCAAACTGTATGATAGCACAACTTAACATACTTCTCTTCAGATTTAACTTTTTATCTAGATGATAAAAGTGAGATTTTGGCAGATTCCTTCTTTTTTTTCTACCAGAAAAAAATAAGAATAAAAGACTGAGACTTCTACATCCCAACATGACTAACTGGTACTGGATTTGCCCTTTCTCTCTAACCATCTATTAAACTAAACTAAATACATGAGTCATTTTAGGCATTGACAATAGGAAGTACAGGACTAAAATTCCTGAGAGCAGGGAAACATATGAGATAAAGCCCAGCTTGACCTTGGCTCCATTCCTCAGGACACTTCCCAAACCATGACACCGGGAAGTGGCACCCAAGCAAAGCACAGTGATCTCACTGATCTGAGGAACAGAGATGAATGTTTGGGGCAGCTGGAATTTCTAGGGATGAAAATCAGAGAAAATAGTGGGTCTAGAAATCCGTAGAGTTTCTCTGTTGGTGCTGGGCTTGGGGCTGGAATGAGTGTGCAGACCTAGCAGCTACTGCAAAGCTGAGAAATCAGAGAGATGGCTTTAATGGGATTCACTGGAGCTCAAAACCAGCCAGGGAGGAAAAAGCATGATAACCTGTTGAACAGCCACTTAAACTTTCAGAATTGCCACACCTTAGGAAGGCCACACCCTAGAGCTGGTGTGAGCAAACTTTTTCATAAAGGGTTAGAGGGTAAGTATTTTTGGCATTTAGAAACCTATCTTTTGCAATTCTTAACTCTGCCACTATAGCTCCAAAGCAGCCATAGACAATACATAAATAATTGGGTGTCGCTGTGTTCCAAGGCAACTTGATTTGCAATAACAGAGGGAGGACTCACAGGCCTAGTTTTGCCAACTCCTGCCCAAGAGTTAAGGTTATGACCTAGAAACAAATTCAACACCCTTGAAGTGAAAAAAATAGATATATACTTTCCCTACATCTTAATATTTGCAATGCCCAGGATCAAATAAAATTTAAAAAAGAGGCAAAGAAATGAGAAAATCTGACCCTTAATTGAGAAAAAAAGACATTCCAAAGAAACAGACAAGTAATTAAGACAGCTCTTACAAATATAATCAACAAATATAAAAGATAAACACAATGAATTAATCCTATGTCCAAAAGATATTTTTCAAAAATGAGGCCGAAATAAAGATAAATAAAGATTATAGGTAAACAAAAGCTGATAGAATTTTGGAGCAGCATATCTGTAAAAAGTAATGAAGGAAATTTTACAGGCTGAGAAAAGAACTCTAGTTGAACATCCAAATCTATACAAAACTGAGGGGGTAGAGGGCAGGAGGGAAGGAGCGTATCTCCTAGTATAGCTAAATAAGTTCCAGCACCTCGAGCTCATGGGAAAACGTTTGAGTTCCTTGTCAGAAGGTAGTCAGAGGCCTAAAGTTTAATAATGTGGCTGTGTAAAAGGAAATGTTATATAGCTGACGCAAAAGAATTGAAAGGAGTACAGACCAAAGATAAACATTTTGTTTTGTTATTTTCAAAATAATTCACATTCCTCCATCAGTGTCATAGGCAAAGCTAATAATCTCCTATACAAGGTAGGAATTAAGCAAATGAGCTTTCCATTTCACATATTAAGCCCACTCTCTCTTATAGAAAATAATCAAGTATCTAAATGAAGGCTATGCATTCTTTCTTTCAAAGAAAGAGAAAAATACTTGAAAAATCAGAGAACTGTTTGTAGATATACCACTGGCTTAAGTGTAGTTATACATATATTACTAGAAAATTAACTTGCTTTTATAATAGCTTTATCACATTTTTGCATATGGTATCTATTACGTCCTGAGAACAATTATTTTAACTTCATAAAAATTAAGATACGTTATTTGTAATGACTGTCCAAAAAAACATGATTCTTTGTAAATAGTTTATCTGTAAGTCCAATCAGTACCAAGATTATTCTCAACCTCTTTTTAGAAAAGAGCAACTACACCCTTCAACTGTTCAATCAAGATCCAAAGGTTCCTTTGGGTTCTTACTTGTTACAGCCATCTGGCCTGGTGTCAGAAGGGCCAACCACAGTGTCCATGAATGTTGCAACGTTGGAGAATCCTGCAGGCAGTTCATCCCATTCATCAAATTTGATGCCACTGCCCAAGGAGTAGGTGCCTTCACCACACTTACTGCATACCTGGTTCTTCATCTCTAGATACTCCCCGGAAGCACAGGAGAAAGCTGGAAGGCAGAAGAATGTATAACACCCTAGTCACTCGACTCCATCTATTTCCCCCCCTTTACACTGTCACCAGAATTATTTTTATAAAGCCCTGTTCATGTCACATCCCCATTAAACCTTTCCAAAGTTTCCCTAATCACTACTTGCACTTCACAATCTGGCCCCAACCAGTTTACCAGCCTCATCCCTTGCCCTGCCCTATTCCAAGCATAACGAAAATTCCTATCATTACCAAAATATTTCATCCTCTTTCTTGTTGCTGCGGTCTTCTTTCTCCAGAGATGTTGACCAACCCACCAACTCTATTTGGAAAACTCCCATTCCTAATTCAAAAATGACCCTTTTTATAGCAGACCTCCCTGCTCCAACCAACCAGGCAGCTGGTGTTGCCTCCCTCTGTGCTCCTACAATACTCTTCTCATAATACATACATTAAAGATATATATAAAGAGAGGGAGAGAGAGATATAGACATAGGCATAAATACCACATAGCAGTTGATATGAGGCTTTGAGCTTCCAGAAAACAAGGATCATTTTTGGATTCCTAGTTGTAGCTGCCAAATACTAAGTCCAAATAAAAGGTTGATCCAGTGAATAAGAATTAAACTTTTAGGGGGTACTTCACATGCAGTAGCTAAAAAAATGTCTCCACACTGGAGCCATGAGTCATTTTTTTCAATACTTATACCTCCAACCTCGTCATTTCCAGAACCTACTTCTTATTACTCAAGTCAAGTTTTCTGCTAATTCTGAGAACTGTGCCCAGAAATCATGAGTAATGTGATTAGTAGTTGACAAAATTTCAGAAAAGAAGGTATTGCTGCTGCTAAGTTATGGTTCATTCAACAAATGCAAATCTATGTCCCCTGAGTGCGTGGCTCTGTGCTCAATGTGGTATTACTGACTCAATCATAGCAAAGGGCTTCTAATCCTTTAATCAGGATATTATAGAAACAAGAACAAAATAAAACCTTCAAATTATCCAATGAAGAAAAACAAATCTCCCAGCAGACGGCGAAGCCGCAAAGCCTCACATCTAGGCTGATTCACCTTTTAGAATACATTTGGAAACTTACCAAAAAATAAAAACATGCTAATTTTGAAAAATTAAAAAAAAATAGAGCTAAAATCCACATTCATCTACTTAATCACTAAATAAATATAAGGGTTTTTTTTTTCAGGAAAGCTTAAGATGCTATACAATGAACTCCCAATTCTGAGATCAACATCCCCAAGTTAGTAAAATATCAGAAAATAAGAAAAGGTTAGGCAAAGAATATTGCATGCTGGCTACAAGGTCAAAATAAGGGACCAGATTGTACTACTTTCTAAGTCTGTGACCTTTAGTGAGTTACTTCACCTCTTCAGGCCTCAGTTCTTGCCTCTGAAAAATGAGATAATTATAGTATTATCTCATATAACTATTCTGAGAAAATAAAATATATATAAAGCAGCTAACACAGTGCCTAGCATTTAATACATATTCACCACATGTAACTATTATCATTACCAGTTCTATCAACAGAGAAACATAGTTATGAAATTTTTTTTTATTTACTTTCTATGGTTTATAGGTCTTCTAGTAAACTCATAAATAATATAAACCAAGAACCAATGTTACACTAAATCAAGAGTCTGCAAACTACAGCTCACAAGCCAAATCCAGACAGCTGCCCAAATTTGTAAATAAATTTTTATTGAAACACAATCATAACCATTCATTTACATATTCATTTTACACCATAATGGCAGAGTCAAATAGTTGTGACAGAGACTATATTGCCTGCTAAGCTGAAAATATTTACTTTCTGATAACATAAAGTCATCCTGAAAGACACTTTAGTCTAGTATCCAAAACTGAACTTTTAATAACAAGTAATATTTTATGACAAGTTGTTATAAGGGTCTCTGGAAGCTAAAAAGGAAAAGATTGTGTTATTTCAGTGTTCATTGTCCTGTTGAAATAATTAAAAATATCCCCAACTCTCTCACAGGTGTTTCTTTGTCAAAGACCAGAAGGAAAACTGAGAAAGCTGAAAGTGATGTACTGATCATTTATTACAGAGTCAACTCTTTCTATTCGCAGTAGTTGTATAAAGTTGTTAACACTAAATTAGTGAATACCAAACCACTTCTCCCAGGGAAAACACAGTGTTAGGCTCCTGCAAGCCTCTGGTCAGTATCTTTGTTAACAGATTAATACATAATGTTGTTTTATGTGTGCTTCAGTTTAAAAACACCTTAGTTAATATATTGTTGATTCATTAACATTGAACTTCTGGCCAAGAGCATCACAACTCAAACTTGAATGAGTTTAACACATCTATTCCCTCCACAGGGCACACCCAGCCTTCTTGTACAGAGGATCACCAGCCAGCACTTCTTTACTATTTTAAACAGTAAAATCACCAATTAAAAGCACAAAAATGCAAAAATCATGGTGTTAACTAGACAATGAAAAGGACACTTGTTGACAATACAAGGAACGAAATAGGAAGGCAGAATGTCATCTTGTTCAACCTCAGCTAGTGGTCAGGTGACTCAAATTTTCACTGCTCTGCACATATCTACAAATAACTGTGGAAGTATTATGTGTATTGATTTGGGGGTTACAAACAAAATTTATAAAGTAGGTGAATTTGCAAATGTGGAATCCATGAAGACTGCGGATTCATGTATTTGTAATAGACGTGCAGGAGGAAAATACTATGCCCATTTACCAAATGAGAAAACTGAGGAACAGTACATTTAAATAACCTGTTTAGAAAGGTACAAAATTAACAAGTGGCAAAGCTGATATTTAAAGTTAGCTCTGTCTGATTCTAAAGCTGGTGTCCCAAGAAAATTCAGTTCAAACAATTATTATAATCAATACAAAAGGGCAAGCAAATTCCAAATGAATTCATTATTATACTTCACATCATCCTTCATTTCCTGCCTTGAACTGCTAAACAATTTTCATGTGCATCATAAAGCAATAACCATTCCCAACCCTCAGATTTCTTGTGGAATTTTTCATATATCATACCTAAAATACATAATTGAGAAATACTTTAGCAAGTTACTAACTTCCATAAATGTCAATGCCCTTGACTGTAAAATAATATATATATTTCAAAGTGTTGTTTTGAGAATTCATAGATACTTTACATAAAGCATTTAGCAGTGGACCTGGCATAAAGCGCAGAACAAACATCAGCTCCAATTATGAATAACAGAATTCAGCGGCCTAGGACAATATGAATTCTGCCACTGGATTGATGACTTCACATCTCCTCAGAATAATTATATAGTCAAAGTTAGTCAAACGAGTTTAGGGTCTACAATAAACGGGGAGCTGAAGATTGTAAAGCATTTTTTATTTTATCATTGCTATTCCTTTTTTTTTCCCATCCTGATCCTGGAATTCACCTCTAGAGCCATATGTCAAAGGAAGAGAAGAGCACACATTTTTGTTAAACACGACTCATTCCATGAGATGATGTCAGCACCGCACTGTTAACCTGTTTGGGCACTCACCAACACCAGCCAGCTTTCCCTTTTCTGATATCTTCTACCTAAGCCACACCCACTTTCTACTTCAACATTGCTTTCTTGGTCTTCGGTTTTTAGTTGGATTTTAAAGGTTTTTATAATCTTAGAGACTGTACTCTTTTCATTCACATTTATTTAGAATACAACATAGGACCTTTTCAACAAAAGCGGAATGATGGATAGTTACTATAAATAGGTGTGTGACTGTTGTTAATGTGAGTTGATTACGTTTAATTTGAACAACTCGTCATTTTGAAAATAAATACTATTTTTCTTCAACAACCTTGAAATCCTAGAGAAACTGAATTGAGGATAAGCAAATTCCAAAGTTCTGATATTAGAACAGAAAGACCTTATTTGCGTAAGGTCACACACTACTTAACAGAGTTCTCAGTGTGGGATTTCATAATATTTTACCTAATCTTCCAACCTCTTGAAGTCTAAACTGTAACCAAGAGGTCATGTGCTAAATTCAATGTTCTTTTTCTGGGCTTTATGCCTCTTCTTTTATGACATCTATTACTGCAACTGTGAATTTAGTGAAGGTTGAAATATGCAGTTACAAAGAATCAAATATGGAAAGAAGTCATTTATAATTATCTGTCACCAACTTGCAAATGGCTGGGACGACCCTCTGCTGGAGTTCCATTCTGTGCCTCCATTCATATCCCAGTGAGAATACCACTTCCTCTTCCTCCCTCATAGGACTGCTACAGTCCAACAGGACACTGCGAAACTGCTCAGAAAGTAAAGAGATGAAAATCCAAAGCATTAATAGGATCATATAACTACCCAGCATAATGTACCAAGTAATGGTTATTAAACTAAATCATTTCTATGCTGATTATTACCTATAATTTATGCCTAACTATAAAAACTGTTTTTACTCTTTCACCTCATGCTTTGAAAGGTGACTGCTCTCAATTACATTTATTCATAAATCATCCATTTTCTGTTTAATTAAAAAGTATTACTGAAATTTGTTTTCTAAACTGTAAATAATAACAATAAGTAGTAATAAAAGGATATTCAATTCACTTGTAAAATGAGAAGAGGAATTAGTGACCCTATACAATCTCATTATAGGTAGTTATTGGGGAATCACACAATATTACATTAATTCATTCAAAAAATAGTTCTGGACCACCTAATATTTGCTAGGCAAACAAGGTTATTTTGGTGAATAAGAAACAGTCCCTCCCACCAGAGATCTTCTAGTTAGTCTAGTCTAAAGTTATCTTCCTCAAAATAGGTCAAACTTACATTTCACTAAGTTACCTTCACTGTAAAATATACCTTATCTTTTAACCTGTTATTAGCTAAATAAAACATTACATACGTTTTTGAGAAAACAACAAATTAAATCAATTCCAGAATTAAGACAAGTCATTATGTCTACTTTTTTCCAATTCTTTAGTTTCATTTAAATAAGATAAATAAGATTAAAGCTGTAGGCATTGTTAT